TGACATTTTATATGCACTATTTTGAGATGAAATTATTTGATAAATTATCTTTTCGTCTTTGGATTCGGGTATGATTGATGTTGACACTTCGCACTTTTTGACGGTTATAAAGAGGATTTATCCGAGATTCTATCTATTATGAATTCAATTGATCCAGCCACCAATTCACTCTTGAAATTGAATCCAACATTCCCTCCCCTTCTCGATATTTATATAATCCGCAATGAAACCGATTTTAGCACCACTGTTGTACCGTAAACCCTTTGCAGTTTTGTTTACCACCCCATGCCAAGTCCATGCCCCCATGTTAAGCAAAAAATGGCTTCTTTTTATATTATGTTTTCCGCGCGCTAAAAGTTTGTTCCTCTGAATCTTTGCTTACCAATGAACTTAATTATTTGAGAGCAGTTGCGATTGACCGTGGATTTTTTTTCCCCGTGATTATTGATAAAGCCGTCAAAAAAATTTCAGATTCCATCAAAAGAAGACATTCCACTGTTAGAAAATAAATCAATGAACCTTGTCGTGCTTCCATTTTATCCTTCTGTTAGCTATAAAATTGCACGGATTCTCCAGAAATTCAATTTTCAAGTCGGTTTCTCCCCTATTAATAAATTCACCCTTCGATTCTAAAAGATTGCGTTTCTGTCTTGAATCTTGGGGAATTTATAGTATATCATGTCAGTGTGGTTTAAGATTATATTGGGCCAAACAAAAAGAGCGTTGAAGTTTCGTATCAAGGAACATGAATCTTATGTCAAAAAAAAGGGGAAATTAACAAGTCTTCAATAGCGTATCATAGCTGGACTTTTAACCATAATTTTGATTTGGGTCTGCAAAAATCATCCAAAGGCTTCTTCCATAGGCGAATTGGATTTCTTGAGGCTTTTCACATTCACAAAGATTTTTAGAAGTTAGTAGTTAGTTAATGATTTGAAGTCCAATCCAGTCCTTCCTAATGCCTTTAAAATTCTACTGTCTTAATTCAATTATTTTTGCCGATAGATGGCGTTACCTCCTCGCACTTGGTACTACCAGAAGGGTATAAATTCGTTCAGTGGTTGCTTTCCATTATTTGAAGTTCAGATTTTGAGCGTAATGTGCATTTGCCCCTCGCTCCCTATTTTAACTTCGCTAATATTTCGTTATGCTTGATCAGACAGCCTGGCTCAGTAGTAAAAGTAGGCAGCCAGTGCAACTCTGATTAAAAATCTAGTTATAACCACGTGCAGTGCTGATAAGCACACGTGTTCTGTGATTCCTATTTTCTTCTTTCTATGTATTTCTTTCTCCTGATGAGGAGGGACCTTTAGCTGCCCTCGAAATCGATTGAGTGTTTCATTATACCTACGCTAAATATAAGGTTGTTTTTTACGATTTTGATGATTTGACATGTTTGGGACTTAATGTCCGTTCTTTCTAGGAAGAACATTATTAAAAATTAATAGCAACAGCAAAAGTTATAAATAAAAATGACTTAAAAATGCAGCTAGTCACTTCTAAATAAAATGTACGTGCTTTGTTATTAAAACAACCACCTCCACTTGCACACATTGGAAAGAGCAGATCTGAAAGATCTAGATGTGAAGTATTATCAACCAAATTTTTGCTTCTCCAATCTATGCATTTTCTACATGCAAAGGCAAATTTCATATAAAAATTCAGTGTTTTCTCCCACATTAGTAATTTCAGCTTAAAGAATATTAAAAAGATAAATCATCTAAATGCTGATATACATGGCAAATTCTAAGTGATATTTGAACTAAAATAATAAGGGATTATTTTAAAAACAATTTATAAATAATTTGTTCTTTAATTTGGCCAAAATCAGCAAAAGGTCCTTATTTATTCATTTTTGAGAGATATGTTTTGATGATTCATTAACAAATACAGTACAGAATCTTTAATCCAAATATCCATAATCCGGACCTCAAAGCTACAAACTTTCTGCGCATGTTTAGCATTTACGCATGCACGTTTAATGTATAAACGGACGGTATAAGCTAGGCTAAAATTATCTAATTCAGTTAATGTTGCAGATTGCGTTGTTCCTTGGTCTTCTAATTGGATCCAGCTTATTATTTTTTGCAGACTGTTAGAGCAATTTTATAAAAAGTAAGCTTGAACTTTCAATTATGTCAAAAAGAGTTTCTGATTCTGGAGCTGCCAAAGGATCTACAAAGTGAAAGCATATTTTGATGTCCATCAAACAAAAAGTGGAATTGCTGCAAAAAACGGATAAAGGCATGAAAAAAGTGACAGAGAGGTTCGTGAAAACGAAAAAATTTCGATTGACAAGTTAGTCGGTATTCTCGGCACAGCAATTACAGGACTTGAACAGCGGAACTTTGTAACTGAACAAGAAATTATGACTGTTTGTAGAATTAAACAGAAAGTATTAGCACAAAAAACGAAGCAACTTAAACAACTTACATTGAAAGAAATGTTTAAATAAAGTAAACAAAAAAGTATTAAGCTTTTTTTTTTTTTTTTTTTGTAAATTTTGATACCCTTTAGATCATAATTGCTCTTTATTTCATAAATTACGGTTTCATATTTTTAATTTTATAATTTCTGCATGCCATCTTACCAGATTTAAATTGATCATTTATAATCCGGAAAAACCCCTAATCCAGAATTGCTGAAGTCCGGACGAGTCCGGATTTAAAGACTTTGTACTATATGTATTTGATGGGTTTCCATTCGAATTCTTTCCTACTTCTTAAAATAAAGCACTTTTAGTTTCACATGTTAAGATTATTTAAAAACTAATATCATCTGTCTTCTTTTATATGTTTTCATAAGAGTTCCCCCCCATGAAGTTGTTTCAGAATATTTAAATGTGTGTCAGTTTTCTCTTAAAAATTCACTTTACACTTTTCTGAATTCTTTTTGGAAGGTTTTAAGATTTGAAAGCAAGAATTATAAAAAAAAATGCCTTCATCACTATTAACACAATATAAATGGGTTTTACAGGTAATTTATAATGAATTTCTTATTTTCTGGAGAATTTTTGTAAGAACAGTGAAAACAAAGTTATCTGAATTTTCTTCCTTTGATCCTGGAAAAAGTCTTTCTCTTAACATGTTTATCGCCACTTTATTTTTTTATCTTTTCATTAGATACAAAGTAAAAATTGAAAAAATGTTTTAATATTGGCACATAGACAGATTATCTTATATGTCTCACTGCACCATTTACAGGGAAGAGCTCTAAGTATTTTGCCACCTGGTGCAATCTATGGGTTCCGACCAGTGTCTGTCCTAAAGTCTAAAATTTTGCAAAACCTTAATCTTTAAATTTTGTTTCTTAGTGCTTCATTAAGGTTTAAAGTTCTGCCCGAATGGCTTTTGGCCCTGGAAGTGACTTTATATCATTTTACATTTATTCTCAATACTATATTAAAGAAATAAAATTAGAATTATACATTCTAAATACATGCAGTTCTTTAGAATAACAGAAATCTTAGTGAATTCTGAAATTCTAAAATGAAGAGGAAACTTATTGCAAAATTGATTACACGAAGAAAATTATTCTTCAAAGGTGTGTTAAAAGTATTAATAAATTAGGGGAAGAAACAAAATCTAGTGGGAGGATTGATTTGTTTATTGAACCTTAGAGAGATGCTAAAGAGAAGAAAACTAATGTAAATTAACTAAAATATCTGAAAATTTTAAAGTTAAAAGATGTACAAATTATTCTGTGAATTATTGCCATATGTTTAATTCCCTCCTGCTGCTCCCCTTAAAATACCACGTTACTGCAGTTCATTTACTGTGAAACATTTTAACATTGACTCTAAGCGAGCTGGAATCACAGTGGTCCAGCTGTTTTTTCATTAGTGACCCATACAGATCACAATTTCCATGTGCAAAAAATATGTTCAAACCCTGAATGAATTTCTAATCTGAAGTTTATTTTAAATTATATCGTAATGGAGGTTCTCAAAATGCTTTTTTTTTTTTTTTTTTTTTTTTTTTTTTGCTTGCTTGGTTTGTCATACATTTTTTTATATATTTTTTGTATAAGTGAATAATACAGTAATGTTGTTTACAAGTACAGTCAAAAGTCGTTAATCCGGACTCGTCGGGACTTCGGCGATTCCGGATTATAGATCATCAGTTTAAATCTCGTAAGATGGCATGCAGAAATTCTAAAATTAAAAATATGAAACCGTAATTTATGAAATAAAGAACAATTATGATCTAAAGGGTATCAAAAAAAAAAAGCTTAATATTTATTTGTTTACTTTATTAAACATTTCTTTCAATGTAAGTTGTTTAAGTTGCTTCGTTTTATGTGATAATACTTTCTCTTTAATTCTATAAACAGACATAATTTCTTGTTCAGTTAACAACTATTCCGCTGTTCAAGCCCCATAATTGCTGTGTCGAGAAGACAGACTAACTTGTCAATCGAAATTTTTTCGTTTTCACTAACCTCTGTTACCTTCTTCATGTCTTTATCCATTTTTTGCAGCAATTCCACTTTTTGTTTGATGGACATCGAAACATACTTTTGTTTTGTAGATCCTTGGGAGCTCCAGCATCGGAAATTCTATTTGACATAATCGAAAGTTCAAGTTTACTTTTATAAAATTGCTCTTATAGTCTGCAAAAAATAATAAGCCTGATCGAATTCGAAGATTAAGGAACAACGCAATCATCAACATTAACTGAAATAGATAATTTTAGCTTACACCGTCCGTTATACATTAAACGTGCAGGCGAAAACGTATTCTGCGCTTGCACAGACACATATGCGTAGTCGTAAAGGTCTTACGCGCACGCATAAAACGCCTGTGCGCATGTGTCAACGCGGTGCATGCGCAGAAAGTTTTTAGCTTTGAGGTCCGGATTATGGGTGTCCGAATTAACGACTTTTGACCGTATATGGTTTGCTATTATGACTTTTTATCCCATAGGCTATAATTTATGGTATTATATTCATGTTTAATAATGCTTATGTGTTAATTTAAAATAGGATTAAATAAAATTTACCATCTTGACACTGCCTGAAAACTGTGACTGATGCTGGTGGAAATATCACAGGAGCATAAAAAGAAGCAACAGCGGGTTCGTCATGTGGTAGAAAACGTTCATACTGAAAGGAAATAAATGAATAAATAAAAGATATATGTAATATGTTTCCTGATTTATTAAATTAATATTTTAATAACTTAAGTAACAAATTTATCATTAATATGGAAAACAATTTAACCCAAATACTGTACAAAATATATTAAAGAATTTCAAGAATATTCTTGAATAAACTTTCAATTGGCATCTTTTTAAGTGTCAGTCGGAATAAACTTAAGTGTATTGCTCTTAAATGAATTTTGTGCTTAGCCTAATTTTCAATTAAAATTTTAACAAAACATATTTCCTTGAATTAACTTATTGAGTCTAAAGATTGTACATAACTCTACAAATAATTTAGCACTGTGCAGCAAGATTCACCATATTGCAAAGTTAGGTTTTAAGAGCTGGGAATTCCAACTTTTAACTATACTCTTCTGCCCTCTCCAAAAAAGGGGCACCCTCAAAAGCTGCAATACAATCATAAAATGGAGCATGCAAATATCAGTGGAACAGATATGCCATGGATACTGCAAATTGTGAATAAAGATATTTTTGAGATGTACGTAACAGAGCTACAAACAACTAATTAAGAGAGAGGTTGCACTATAAACTAAGAGATGCAGATTGGCATAACAGCTATATCAGTTGTAGCCTTGGTTGATGCAAATGGATATTTGCATAGCTGCTAAATCTCCCAGCAGATCACCAAATATCCCAGCTTTCTTGTTAAATTTTATTTCATATGAATTATATTTTTTCATGTAATATTTTATTGACCTCTGTCTTATTAAATTTGATTTGATCTCAATTATCATCTACTACTCATTATCACTATCGTTATAGTCTACTGCAGGCATTTATAGATTTCTATCTGAAGATGCAAACAATGTTTAATCAGTTAATATTCATATTAATTTTGTTTACTTCAATATACAGTACATTACTAAGTTTACCAGTACAAATACTGTATGCAGTAATTATTTAACTCCACTTATTTTATTATGTACGGAAGTTTATATAATTTTATATAACAAAAATACTCTGAGTACATGTAATGGCTGTCTGTTTCAGTTAATAAATCAATACTAGAATTACACACAGTGGAAGAAATTATAGAGTTTAAATAATTTATTATTTCTTGGTAAGTTAAAAGAAAAAAATTAAGTGCATGGACTGAATTATTTCTGAAATGGCAAAGTACATTCATACTGTGTTAAACAGTATATCTGTGTTGAGGAATTTTAAAAAAGAAACTATGTACGTATGTTACCAATGAGTAAAACCTCATTCAGCCAATGAGTAACAAAAGCCAGGACAAATTATCAGTATTAGCAGCTGCAATCAGTTGGCATCTTGGCAAATTTATCTAATTTATGTATTGAAAAAGGCTATAAATACCACATGCTGATAAGTAAATATTAATGCAGATGTATCAAAGTCTAAGTAGACTAGGCAAGTTTGTTAAATATGATTAAGCAGTCAAGAATTATCTTTCACAGAAAGGATGCTTTTATGGAAAACTTTTTAATTGTAATGACCCATACTTAATTAAACACATAAAATGGCCACCTCCATTATTGATTCAATTTATTTCTAAATATTTTGAAACTTCATGTTACTTAATTTCTTTGTTACACAGACTAAGATGAAACAAGTAACTATCGGTAATACTTAAGAGTTTAACTCATGAAAAGCTTCGGATAAAAATTCATTCAGTCAGTTTTCTACTATATACACTGGTGTGCAAAAATTAAGGACGAAGTCGAAAAATTAGAAGAGGCAGAGCGGACAGAAAGACCAATCAGGAGATTAAGTAAGATGATGTACGGTAGCACATGCGCAGATATGCAGGTAGACGTAATGGGGGAGTGTCTGAGTAGTATAAAGCATGTTGTCGATGTAAGATCAGTATTTCTGGCAAAGAGATTGCACGCCATATAGCAGTTAAAATCACACCAATTTGCTGCCTCAGCGAGAAATGGCGAATAATAAATCTGTTAGACGACATCTGGATGCTTTTACCCGAGGTCGAATCATTGGGAAGTTGGAGGAAGGCCATAGTGTGACAAGTGTGGCTGCAGAGTTCGGAATTGCTCACAGCATCGTTTCACGACTTTGGAGACAATTTCAAACTACAGGAACAGCTATCCGGGGGTTTAGCAGTAGTCGTCCACGAGGAACCACACCCGCAGATGACCGGTATATTGCCTTACAGGCCAGAAGAAACAGGCGGCAGACAGCGGGAGAAATCGCTAAACACACGACACAGGTGACTGGACGACCGATATCGCATTTTACCGTGGCCAGAAGATCGCACGGTGGTGGTTTGTTTGCAGGACGCCCTGTACGGTGTGTATCTCTAACGCCCTGTCCATTGGAGAGACAATGAATGGGGACGAGTACTCTTTACAGATGAGAGCAGATTCAGTCTGAGTAGCGGATTCTCCTCGCACACTCATCTGGAGAGAGCGGGGAAGCCGCAATCATCCCTCGAACATCATTGAAAGGGACAGGTATGGAGGTGGCGGTGTTCTCGTTTGGAGAGGCATCATGCTTGGTAGTCGTACAGACCTTCACATCTTCGACGCAGTCAACGGGACCCGATATTGTTACGAGATTCTTCTTCCATATGCGCATCTTTTTAGAGGCGCTATCGGTCCGCAGTTCCTTTTCATGGACGACAATGCACCATGTCATCGCACAGTAGCTGCCGAACAGCTCTTAGAGAGTGAGAATATTGAACGTATGGATTGGCCAGCACGATCTCTGGATCTCAATCCCATCGAGCATGTATGGGATTTTCTAGGCAGATGCTTGGCAGCTCGTACCTTACCACCAGTAACGATTCCGGAGCTTCGATTGGCGCTGCAAGACGAATGGGCAGCAATGCCTCAACAACTCATTGACACCCTCATTCTCAGGCAGATGTTGTGAAACCTGCCTAGCAGTCAGGGAAGATCATATCCCCTAAGACCGGATGTCTCTTGCTGGACACCCATCACAGGGATGTTTCGGCCTTCAGTCGCATTGCGCTGCATGCTACTTTTTCAATAAAGCTTCTTTTTATCGCTCTGATTTCTCTTTTAGTAAGTGTTGCTTACATTACTCATGTCCTTACGTATTGGGGATCTTACGGTATTAAATGTGTTGATTTGGAAAGCTTTTGTACAAAGTTATATTGAAAAAACCGTCTCGTCCTTAATTTTTGCACACCAGTGTATATGCAAAAGAGATGTATATAAGACCTGAAGCAGAACTTACTTTAAATTTATCACCAATATGGTTATGTTCTGAAAATATTGGTTGACAAGTGAACCTACGATATCCAACATGAAAGATTAAAGTGTCTTTTGATTTTACTGGAGTCTGACATGAAGTTTGTTTACGAATTATAACATTCACAACAGACATCTTTTGCTCATGAGGCAGCAAACCATACACAACAAAAGGTGATTTTTCTGTATTCTCTGGAAGAAAAAAAAAAAAAAAAAAAAAAAAAGAGCATTTACTGCATATAGTAAAACAAAAAATGAAGAATGTGAAATACTGTAATTACTATTAGCAATGAATAATTTAGTTTTTAACATGAGTACGTAACTAACAATTTATAATGTATTTGCTAAATAAATATAATATACAGTACAATTTGAATTAACCACTAAAGGTAGAGAGGTTGGTAACTGTTGCTTTGCATGATTAACAAAATTCCTGCCCCAGATTTAAGAACATCAGCGTTAAATTATATTAAGTATTTTTTTAAAATATTCCAAACTACTCTCACAAAATATCGTTGACTGTCTCACACATCTGCCTCCATTTTGAGTTTCATCATGCATTTAGTAACATTTTACCGTGTCAAAAGATTTTAGATGCTTTAAATTAGCATATGATGAATGCCTACTTTCGTAAGTATTAAGATATGCCTGCTCACGCAGCTGAATTTTCTTCGCCCACGGGTGTTGGTACTTCCCTAGTACCATTTATTTGAAAATATCTTTGCCTAGTGCACTTTTAATGCGATCTACTGGCGAAAACTCTTTTAGTAGTTAATGACCAGAAAAAAGTAAGTCATAAGTCATAAATTAGCTACTTCAACAAGTCTCACAACAGATAACAGTTTTTGTAGCTGTAAATTAAAAATATGAATTTATTAAAAAAAATTATAAAGAAGCATTAAAGTGATATTAAAAAAAATTAGAGATGATTTTTAGTTGTTTCAATGCAAATTAATGCCATAAATTTATATATTGCTCTGATTACAGATGATTTTGCTTGCAGTTTCTGTAGACTTCAGGACTTGATTTTTTCCACTCTTTTTAAAATAAATAATTTATTTTTGGAAAAAGTATAAAAGGAAGATTAGATGAACATTTACTGAAATGAAATTATGTTTTACAGAATTTTAATAATAACAGTATTTTTTTAGAATTAAGAGTGTTTGATTACTTTTGTGAAACACTATGTCTATTAAATAGTAGATTCTTGCTTAAATTTACGATTTATCTATTCACATTTAAAAGACTTGCATTCACAATTAAAAGACATTAATATTCCTTATATTATAATAACTTATATTTTAAGAAACAAAGAGAAATTCAGAATTACACAAACTAATGCCAAAAATTTAAGGAATTTTTTTTACCGTATAACGACTGTGGCACATTTATGATATGCATGGTCACGTACAGTCCCGGCTGAAAGAGGTAAAAAGATAATAACTTATGATGATTTAATAATTACTAAATTCGCTCAGATAATATAAAAATACATTTTTTACATATTATTACAAAACTATTTAAAGTTTTATAAAATCTAATATATTTTTCTTAAATGGTTATATAACAAACATTTGTTCTTTTCTAAGCAAATTTTGCAATAAAAATGACAATATTCTTTCTTATTATGCCAGGATAACTATTTATCCAATATTATAGACTCCAACCTATAGCAAAACTTGTCAGTAATCAATGCATGAACAATATTGTTACAACTCTGAACTGGGCATGTAAGCAGAATTTTTTTATTAACCTTTTGTTAATTTTTCAATTAATCATTAAATGGAATTATATTAATTCAACTTAATATACATAAATGTAAAAAATTGAATGTTCCTTGTAAATTATATGCATTTTCATTTTATTATTCAAGCAGAAATATCACCAGACCTACCTAATATATTATTGAAGCAAATGTTTTAAATAACAAATAATCATAAAGGAAAATAGAATACGTAAACCATACATCTTTGAGATTTTTGGATTTGATTTCTGTAGGGAAATAAATAGTTTTCACACTCAAATTTGGTGTAAGTAAAATCCCTCCCCTTTTTTCCTTTTAATAACACAATTCTTTCACAGGTTGCATTTGAATTAGGTAATTTTTTCGCTAAGGAAATTGCGTTTTGATACTGAAATTGAAGGGCTATTCAATTAAAAATGAAATTAAATAGCATTCAGCGTTTATAAAATTCATTTCATCGTCTTTTACGAAGAAATTTGATATTTCTTGCAATTTTAGTGAACTCGCCTTTGAGAAAATGCATGCCATTAGAGTTTTACACTAGGCGCAGCTGAAACGTCTTAGTTGCTAATGCAAGGTGTATGATTTACAGAAACTTTCAATGTTTAAATCCATGGAAATTCTGCAGAATATGAGTTTTGGCTTGATAATTTTAGGCCTGTTGTATTGAAGTGATATAATTTATGAAATTAAAATCTTCCAGTTTAATTCCAATTTATAAGAATCACGTGTAACATTTTCTCACCGTAACATAACCACGCGGGATCTGCAGGGTGCTCAATTAGGAGCATTTCACCAGTCATTGGAGGAGTAAGTTGATTCCATTTTACATATAATTCTCCTTGTCCTTCTTTCTATAAAATTTTTACTTTTTCCCATAGCTCATAGTGTTTAAAAAACAATGGGGAATCTGTAGTAACTACAGTCTATGCATTATTTTGAAGCTTAAATTATTAAAAGAGAATTATAAATAGTTAGCATAAAATTTCAACAATGACTCTAATTATATATTTCAGAGGTAATTCTTGCTATTATCATTGGCTCTTACTATCTAGTTGCAAATTCTGCTATAATTCTATAAGTCTTGAATGTTCTACTGATGCGGCTTACAACAATATGCCAATAATGCAGATGTGGAATAATGTGCCCCAAAACAAAACAGGGATTCTTCAAGTGTTCAACATATTTCCTTATCAAGAACGTGGCCTCAACACATTTAGCTGTTTAAAATCTAATTTAGAAAAAAAGTCGCAGTCTAAGTAAACATGAAAAATATGCGTGATCATAAATTAATTTTCCAAAAATGTGTTACTGAAAATTCCGAAAATTAGGTTTCCCTTGAAGCTTTCGTTTATTATTTAGAACACTGATTCACTCTTTTGCATTGATGAATAATATAAGTTATAATTCATCATTTCTCGTAATGTTTTATTTTTTCATGGATGAAAAAATATACATGATAAATTTAAATTAAATCTTTTATGTACGAAAAGTAGATATATACACACCATTGCTCCTTCTTTTTCTTCAGTTAAAACTTTCTTCTTTGTTTGCTTAAAGCTTCCAAACATGTAAATCCGTGAATAATCAGGAGGTAAATTTTCTAAAGGATCCCAGACTGATTTCTTGAAGCTTTCTAAACCTCTATACCTATGAAAATTATTCAGAATTTTTAATCCATTAATTTAGGTTTGGAAGATACTGAGTATAAACTTAATTAATTAATAAAATATAATACCTTTGGAATCTTACTCTTGCACTGATATCGATAGGAGTATCTAGTTCATCGGGGAACATCTGATTCAAGCGTTCTTCTTTAAATCTCACTAGCCTTTTAAAAACATAGAATATTGAAAGTGAAATAAAATAATCTCTTATAACTAATTGCAAAATTTTATAAAAATACAATAAAAAATACTAACATTTTCTTTTCTTCATCCAAATCCAACTGCTTATCATAATTTTCATCTTTTAATTCTGGTACAGATTCCTAAAATAATTATATAAAATGAAGTAATTTTGCTTAATATAATAAAAATCCTAAAACATTAAAATTAACCATACCACATCATCCATTTCAACATCACCGACTGCTTCAGATCCAGACTGATCTTCATCATAACTTTCATCTTCACTACTTTCACTTGCATCATCATCATCACTATTGAGAATCCAGGAAGCCTGATAATCACTTGTTCCTTCAGCTACTTTTTTAACTTTTTTCTTGGGTGTTAACATGGCTGCATTAAAGAAAATGCTATTATTTATCTATCATTTCTTAAAATGACAAAACATGACTGATTTATATATCATCCCACTTAATTCATAAATTATCATCCAAGTTTGAACATAATTCCATTATTTCAGACCAATAATTAGTTCATGATTCATTTCTATTTCAAATACATTAAATAAAACTAAACATAAAAGAACAACTCTAGCAAAACTATATATATAAACACTGCTGTATATACTAAATATTTACTATACATAAAAATCACTAAACTGAACTTGGAAACTATTTGTTTTGTACTTTAAAGATCTTCTTTTCAGACGAATTCCTACAAATTTAGCAGAAATTCTTATTTTTAACTACTTTCTGATATTTTAATTTGCTTGCCTATTTAGGAAATTTATCAATTTAAACTGGTATTATAATAATTTTTTTCAATTTCTACATTTCTTATCTTTTGAAATTTTTAATTTAGAAACATCTAAAATTGACAATACCTACTTTCTGTAAAGCATGACATTATGCTACAAAGGATTAACCATCCATGTTGGCAAACTGCCACTCCTGAGAACTGTTGCCATTCCTCAAAGCATACACAATTTATTAATCATTACCTGACCTCAAAAGATATCAATTCTAAAAGCTACTGCAATTCTTAGCAGCATAACAAAGTATATTTTATTAGTATATTTGGGCAATTTAAAAACTGTACAAACCCTGACATTTAAAACTATTTCTGTTCCAAACATATTTGAGTGTTTTAAACAGCTGAGTTGAATAGATGGTGAATCAGTTTCTAAACTTTTCAAGTAAAATAATAACTAATTTATTAATTAATACTACAGCTATGATAAGATTTTATCACTTACAAACAACTTCTTTGTTTGTTTCAAAGTTTTCAACAATTTTTTCAATTAGATTTTCAGTTTTGTAAAACTGGTGGTAGCTTTTCAGCAGCACCTTTTTTGGTTGAAGAATTTTTCTTAGAATCTGCAGTGCTTTATATTTGACTGATGATGGCATATTATCACTTTCACTGTCAGTTTTTGCAGTTATTGAAATAATTTCACAATCAGTTTTTGCACATGTTCAGCAATGGCAGAAATTTGATTGTCCTAAGCAGCTTAGTTTAATAAGTAGTGGGTACTGTAAATATTTCTTTAAATATTAGTTAACAAATTTAACTTTTCAAATTAAAGCCACACTCTGCTTATCTAGATTAAAAAAATACCAAATTTTAAACAATATATTTCACAATACATATTAATACAGTACAAAGTTTGCAATCTGGACTCGTCGGGACTTCGGCGATTCTGGATTATAGATCATCAATTTAAATCTGGTAAGATGGCATGCAGAAATTATACAATTAAAAATATGAAACCGTAATTTATAAAACAAAGAGCAATTATGATCTAAAGGCTATCAAAATTTATAAAAAAAAGCTTAATATTTATTTGCTTACTTTATTAAACATTTTTTTCAATGTAAGTTGTTTAAGTTGCTTTGCTTTTTGTGCTAATACTTTTCTTTAATTCTATAAACAGACATAATTTCTTGTTCAATTACAAAGTTCCACTGTTCAAGTCCTGTAATTGCTGTGTCGAGAATACAGACTAACTTGTCAATCGAAATTTTTTTGTTTTCAATAACCTCTCTTTCACTATCGGAAGCGGTATTTTCTGGATCTAGAATCACACTACAGATTTCATCGTCCGTTAATTGATTGATGATTGGGGCATTGTTGCAATGAAAAACTTTTGTTATATCATCTTCATTTGTTACCGTTTCTCCACATTTCTTTACAAAATCCAATACCTGGAAAATTTCACCTTTAGTTTGCGATGTCCAAAAACCTTCAAATTCGCAGCTATCACCTCACCATTATGGTAGCTGGCCATAAATTATGCCAAGCATTTTTTAACACATTCTCCCAACGCGCATGCGTAAAGCATACAAAAAAAAGTTTGTGGCTTTGAGGTTTGGATTATAGATCATTCTGGATAATGGATGTCCGGATTACAGACTTTGTACTGTATCAGTCAAGTATCTGTAAATGTTGATTTTAATGTTGTACAAACAACTCCAATTGATAATTACAAACTCTCATTAATAATAAAAAATAATGCATTATATTTATTAGATATCGCTACAAAAGAACTACCTCTCTACGTATGAAATGTAAAGATACAGTAAAAATTGCTACCATAATTTTAAAGGCCAGCAGATCAAGATGGCTAGTAGATGAAGAAGTATACAGCAGTTAAAAATTTTAATGTTAATTAAACAGCTTCCACAAAGGCTGCCAATTAAAGTTGGCACATTAAAATCTTTTTGAGACAAAATCGAGTATGATGTGATAAAAATATATGTAATTTTGGAAGAACTTCCTAATTTAAGATGAGATTAAAAGATCTTTATCTTATACATCTGTATACTGAAAAGAAGACAGCATTAGTAAGTAATATTAAACAAAAACGAAAAAAAAAAAAAAAGAAAAGTTATTATATGACTGATTCAGTAATTACTGGATTTTAAAAAAGCAATTTTCTTACACTATCAGAAGAGTAAATTCAAGATTTAGGAAACTATTTTTTACTGAATAGATTAATTAAAAAATATATTGTTATGTTTCATTTACTAAGTTTCCTTAATACCTGCATTTAGCTCTTCTTCAGTAGGCCATGTTTGTTCTCCTTCCATGGGATCAGGTATAACCTCTGACTGTAAGGATTCTTGTTCAGATGGATTTGGTTTGTTAGAAAAAAGTACATTATCTGAGGCCATTTCTACATCCTTAACCAAAAATAAAACATTAGTCAAAACAAGGCATAAAGAAATTCAACAATAAGATTAATGGATAACAATGTAATAAATATATACATACTGGTTGTTGAAATTTTTAGATTTGGCTCATAAAAAACCTTTTAGCACATATTAAATCTGTTTATTGCATATCACTCAAAATATATTCTCTCTGGATCCATTCATTTAATTTAAAGTTTAATACAATATTTTAAGAACTCCTGTGTTTTCTTTTTTGGAACACCACTGAAAACCTTAGTTGAGACTCTATACTTAAAACCATTAAAATGAGTTTATTTCATTTTCAATTTTAGTTAAGGGAATACAAAACAATTCAGGAAGAAAAAAAAAAAAAAAAAAAGAAAAAAAAAACAGTTGGTGAAATAGCAGGATGATGAAGTACAGTAATTTAATTGAAGGCCAAAACTTCAAGGACAGTCATAAGAGCGAATTCATATTGATACAAGAACTTTTTTGCCAGACAACAAACTCTTGCTCTGTTAGCGAATGTGGTGTCAGGTATTTGATTTCAAAGTTCTAAGCTTACAACTTTATGGCCCTCTGCTTTTCTCAGAAGCTTTGTTTAGAACAGTAGAAGTACAAACTTCCCGCAAGTAATTTGCCAAGATATTACTGCTTCATCGGCAATACCCAGCAGCCCCCCTCCATGTTTCGAATATTCTCTCAACCAATTGTAAATGAACTGGAATGAAGTCACAAATGCGATTCTACAGCGCTTGGAACCACATTCTTTTTCAAATGAATGAATGAATATTCTCTTGTCACAGTTTTTCATACTGCAGCACCACTGTTGATCTGTGGTTACATCAAATAAAGAGCAGTTGTTATGAGTGTGTTGCCATGTCACACTCATACATGTAAGCATGATTGTAAATTATTTATTGTTATTAGACAAAATATCTATTGAGAAATGGCAACAGCTAATTTCTGGATGTCATTCTATTAATAATTTAAAAAAATATATTCAGATGATGTACGATTGAAATGTATGTCGGTAGAATTCAGTAAGAACATCTGTTATGTTATGTACGTTTACGAACACGTTACGTGTAAGTTATTAAGTAACGAGTACAATTTATTTCTAAGTAAATGTTTGTTTGTCTTTTAAAATCGTTTTATGAATCATTAATTAAACTACAAAAGGAAGCTAACATCCATAATTCACACTAAGTCTTGCTGCATGGCAATAGTTTCATGGTTGATGGAAATAATACATAAGTATTGAAACTAAAACAACATTTTATTTATTTTGCCAAAAATTTGCAATGGATTAACATTTAGCAGTGATGATATATTTTTTCACAACAAATGACTACTAAAATTAAAAAATAAAAATTTAGAACTAGCAAAGTATACTTGCTGGGACTTGTCATCTGCCAAAAATTTACGCCATATTTACGAAGTATCAAGTATGCATAAAGTTAACCTTCCTGCTTAGATAAAATTGCTTAAAACTTTAGCAGGAGTAAATATTTGTATGATATTCATAACTTTTCACAACAACAACTCTGATGTTTAAGATAAGCATAAATGCTTCTTCACTTATTATCATATAATAGTGACACCTTTATTGCAGGTATAATAATGACTATTTGAATCTTGAAAATTTGTATTTTTCTGTTAACAGGATGCAAGTAACGAAATGTCATAGCCTTTTTATATCACTTTATGAATGGCTGTGCAGTGGTAATTCACATAATGCCACATTTGTGCAAGTCTCTGATTTTTTAAACAAAAACAGATTGTCATGTGCATGAAAAGAACAAAACTGTTGTTTGTTGTTCTCCCTGTGAAATAAAAATTCTGTGTCAGTTAAAGAAAATTAAAAAAAAAAAAAAAAAAAAAAAAAAAAAAAAAAAATTAAATGTTTGGTGCTAAGTAGCACTTTCTTAACAGAAAAGTTACAAAATTTTTCACAAACTGAACATTCCTTTCTGGGAAACATGTTAACTTTTTGTGTGTCTGTGTATGCGCATTTGTTCATTTAAATTGATTACTTGGGAATTTTTCTTCTTAAGGCCCTACTTTATTAAAAATCATGCAAAAAAGAGACTTTAGTTTGGCATAAGTTTTGAAGATTTGTATTGGCACTAATTCCAATTCAGTTCTTCCTAATGCTTTCACAATTTTTTTTCTTAATTTTTCATGGTTTATCAGATTTTCCTAGATACAGGGTTCGTACACATTTCTGCACATGAAAATTAAGTACTTTTAAGGATCATTAATGAAAAAAATTAAGGACCTATGAGCTAATAGCAAATTAATAATTCAATTAAAAATATTATCTTTGCCTGAACTTTACTTTTGTAATACCATCCAAAAAAATAAAATAGATCCGTAATTAGGATGCATTATTATTAAACATCACTTAATTAACATACTTATTAATAAGTTTGAGAATTAAATATACTTTATGCAGTTTATCAAATAGCATTACATATTATACACTTATAATAGTTCGGCAGATTTGAGAGAAGATAACTGACATTTTATTTACGTTTTACTAATAGTTAGTTAGTTTTTTTTTTTTTTTTTTTTTAAACGTCTTATTTTTTCACATACTTGCTCAATCTAGAGGTTTAGTAAATAGGAGGTAGATTTTATGTCAAGTGGTACAGGTTAAAATGAGAAGTAAAATCATAATCAGAATGATTTATAGCAAAAGAATGGCTCTTGTCACCACTGCTTCTTGCCTACAGAGAGAGACCTGATGATCAGAACAAAACTGAAAGGCCAGATGTGGGCACGGTTGGCAAGTTTTGAAAGTTAGTTGGGCTCTGTCTGATGCAGTTAGTGTCATAGCTTCGTGTAGAGTTCCAAGGGTTGTAACTAGCGGTGCCATCTCGACTCTCAAAATCCGGGAGAGGAAAAAAAGTTTCCAGGAGAAGAAAAATGTTTCTTTGGCAGTCGCAACTGAAGAAAAATCGGCCTCCTGAATCTCATTTAAAAGTATTTCTTGAGCTGCAGGAGCAAGCACACTCTCGCAAATACTTGTACATTTCATTCTACCACAAGAAATCATTTTGCCAAAGAAGAATCTAGAAATAGAGTGCTATACAATTTGTTTGTGCAATCCTGGAAATTAAAAATGTGATGGTGCTTAATGCTATGATAGACTGAAGTAATTTCAATTGCTGATATACTGTCCTTTTCTTTTGAAGATTTCTTTACAAAAAGGTTTGAAACCGATTGCGAAGAATCCCTATTCAATATTAACGATTGGTGTTTCTTGCTTTGGGTAACGTACAGTTAGGTTAGAGTCACTACTCTAACACCCTCGTACTTAATATTAACCGTTTTCTGACATAATTTACATTCTCCGTTAAAATTGTCTCTCTTTCTAAGCCAATCAAATTAAGTTAACCACTTGTCTTGAAATGACGTCGAATATTTTGTCTTTTGTTGTGGCACTTATTCACTTGCAGAATCAGAATCGTTTTTTCACTAGACATTATTATGAAAGCGTTTAAATAATTCCAAAATATGCACTTTTTTGTGGATAGCTAGCTAATTGAAGACTAAATTAAAGAATGGATTGAAAATGACAGGATGAGGGCGCACGAGCGCGACATGCCAGCATGAAACTACGACTCATCCATAAGGCGCTTACTCACCGCAGATTGCTGCTGCAAAGAATATGTATTGACATAGACGTTCTTTGGGTGCTGTGCACGGTCGTGCCATTTTCGATGCTCTCTACCATTTCGCCCATGCGCATTGTATTGTTATTTTCGAGAACGTGATATTCCGGGAGAATAATATTTATTTTAAATTTTTTCTGGGAGATTTTAATTTTCAGGGCCCAGGAATTCCAGGAGAGGTGGGAACCTTAGTTGTAATCCAGTTAACATATTTTAAGGTTCCAATAAGCCACTAAAGCACCCAAAGGTGATACTAAATTGCTTTGTATTATTTCAGGTCTTACTAGATACAAAGAATAAGTTTTACATGAATTTTTACATTTTTGTGTTTTATCTTGTACCACGGTAAGGATTAATGAAAGGCAATAACATGCTTTTATATGCAGAGACGATTTTTAAGTGTAAGCAGTTATAAATAATTGATGGTTAGTTGGTTGACTTTTAATGGCACAAAACCTTGAAGGTTATCATGCACCAGACGAATGGTTAATAAAATCCAAAATGCACAAACACATTGTATCAGATGAATTGTTGAAATGAACCTGTAATGCTGATGAAGACATGGAGAAATGATTTTGAGAAATGAAGGTAGAGCAGGATAAAAGGGAAAAACTTCAAATCATATGGTAAAAAGAGATGTCTTTTAAAAATCTTGTGAGGGTGATGTGAGGGTTTCTTCAAATGTTAAGTTAACATTCGTAGAGTTGAAATGATATTCACGTTTCTGACTAAAAGCAGGACAGCAGGTTGATATAAATAATTGACTTAGGTAGTTAGATAACCTTAGTCATTATGGATTTACATGACCACAATTAAATTTTACTTATTTTTTAATAATATTTATTAAAAAGCCATATCAAAATCATAATCTAATAAAATTTCACAGTTTAGAATACATGCTATTTATGTCATTGATTCTTAAATGATATTAGGTTAATCATACATTAAAAGCTACAAAACATTTATGTTTTGTAGCAACAACACTCAACAAAATATTTTTGCCTCTTTTTAATCTGAAGCATGCCCAGACATTTTGGCTAATTTATATAGATTTTCTTCTTTTAAAAATTTCTTTCAATATGCAAACCAATGTTCTCACTAGTTTCTGTGTGCTGTATCTCCTAACTTGTCAATCTCTCCACAATGTACCTATGAGGGTTTACTTTATCTGTTAGAAGTTAAACAGTTCAACCCCCTCCCGACAGATGTGAAGAAAATTATCGCTATGTCTGAAAGTAACTATAAAGTTAGACAAAGCCTCTTATTTAAAAAGCACTTAAAGGCATGTTTTTATGCTAACCAAATCAATTGCAGTTTGTGGTGATGTAA